TTGTGATCGAGAGTTCTAGTTTTTACTACCATTTTATTTTGCCGGTGGAGCGACCTTGCCAGTTTCCAACTCTCTCAGGTGCGAGATATGCAGTGAGCGCGCAGGCTCTTCCAGCCGACTCTTTTAGGATGCTTTCAGCTGATGGCACCACTTCCAGGAAATTGCAATAAATAATTAATCCAGCCCGAAAACGGCCTTCCTCGTGGCTGTCAGTTTCCTTCGTTCTCCCACGATTCTTATTTCATTTTTATATTTACCAAGCTCTGTTCCTCCTCCACATGCCTTTTTTTGGTGTGATTCTGAACGACTGTTATGGTCAGCATGAGATGCAGCAGTTAAAAAACCGGATTTTCGAGATCTAATCGTCTTTCTTAAAAAGAAGGAACTGAGAGCCAGATATTCCATGATCGGCTCGTTGGTCTAGGGGTATGATTCTCGCTTAGGGTGCGAGAGGTCCCGTGTTCAATCCCCGACGAGCCCGACGTTTTTCTTCATTATAGTGGGCAGACACAAATACCCTCTATGTAACTCGATTCCGAAGAAAAGTCGGACGAGGTCGAAAAAATAAACATTTTCTACCACGAGCAGCAACAGCAGACAGATGCATTCGTTTCGCAATCGTTGGAATCCCCCTGCACACAAAGAACCACAGAGGCCTGCGCGAGAAGTGCTGCAAACCACGACCGAGTCGCTGTAAAACTCGCACGACTTGCGCAGCCGCAAGCGGCATCGAAACTAAGGAACCAAACGAAACAGACAGCTTGATCGAATTTCACTCATTGCTCATAAGGCCCTAATCGTTTAAACGCGAACACCTGTGGGGTCACTCCGTTCAAAAGCGAATTTTTCCCTCCTTTTCTTTCATTTTCATCTTCAATAGTACATTTCTCACTTTTTCATTAGTCACCTTCAAGAAAACACGACATGAAAAACCGAAGTGGCAAGATTTTAAAGAAGACGATGCTGTCAAAGCCATTATCGATTCTCGCTTTGGGTGCGAGAGATCCAGAATTGAAATATTCCCAGAAATATTCCCGGACGTACCCATTTTCGTCCTTTTGGTGAAAAAAGGCCACACAGGTTCATACGTGGGCCATCTGAACAGTTACCTACAAGAATACGAAAGAGGAAATATGAGAACGTTTGTAAACAGAGTTAGGGCACATTGAAGTAGAAATATTACTCGGAGGGAGCAAGAGGTCAGTAGTGTTTCAGCAGCTTAGTTGAGAGCAAATTGAACATTGCTAACATGGACAACATGAGGCTGGAGTATCGGGCTTTTATGAAGTTCCTTAAAAATAAGGGATTTCAAAAATATACATATATGTTTGAGCGCTTGAGGCGTGTCAATGTTGATGTCTCTCGTGATCTTCCACCAACTGGAGCCTTGGTAGAAATGAAATCGGTTCTTACTCATCTTAGTTCTCCCGGTATGAACTTAGACATTTCTGAATTTATATTTTTTCTCACGGATTCTGGTTTCCATATCTATGAAATCCGACCATTTCGAGCGAAGAAACAGCTTGAAATTGAAACCGTGTCGAGCCCTAGATCAAGTCCTATTCGAACTGACTGCTTCTAGGCTTGCATCATGAATTTTAATTCACGAGTCTCCAGTCCCTTCACATTTCCACAACCGCTGGGTTCTATGGAATCTTTCCCAAAGCCGAAGCACACCCACAGGGCCGATTTCCGTGAGGAACTTCCCAACTTCGACCTAGGCGAAAATAAATTGGGTAAGCTCGTATTCACCGCTGTACGAAGTAGTTATGCCTTCGGAATTGTCGATCCTTTCCATTAAAGCTTCTAAGAAAGGTTTCCGTCAATCGGGATCCTCTGTTATGCTTGCATAAGGGGTGCAGAAGGTGAAAGCGACGACGCTGAGTCTTTCTTACGGACCCGGTGATATCCCACTATCAATAGTGCTTGACGATCTCGGAATGAAAACTTATTCATTCTGACAAGTTCCATTCCACCCACAACAAGAGCAAAAGCAAACGTCAATGCGTCTTTCCCCACGTGGCACTGTATGTTTGCTTCTCAGAATAAAGGACCAATTGCGTAGTTCGCGAGCAAGGAAATCCCATTGTCGACATCACGTCGATAGCGAGTTTATAAACCCTAACCTGCGATTGTTTCACGTGTGCGTATATCTTCTACGGACTAGCTACTGTACACATGACGCATGGGAGCCTAATCGGTGACAATAAAACGATATGGGAAGGAAAAGAAAAGGCATAATCGCCCTCTCCCATATTGCTCATTATGCTTTCATGCATTAATTATTTTGTGGGGAGTAATAAGGCTCGTACTCAACTGTACCCTTAATTGGTGTAGCGCTTGCAACACTCGTGAACACTTCTCTCTCATGATGGAACTACTTTGAAAAAAAGGGACATCCATGAACCTTCCATATGCTGAAACCTGTGTTTTTCTATGAAAAATATTTTTTATTATGCTGGAGCGTTCCAGCCGGTTCCAAATCCACCTCCAAACTAACCTGGTCGTTTAGCCAAGCGGATGTAGCCGGGCGTTTTGTAAGGGTAGCAACAAAATCCACCTCAGCATAAGAATGGGTCACCGCTTCCGCGAGAATCAACCACCCCACCTACAGTATAAAACTAGAAGATGCTCCTTAGATTTGGAGATGATCAAAGAGGGAAATAAAGAAAAAAGTAGGTACAACTGTGTTGAGGAACTGATTCGACGGATGTAAAGATTCCGGCAGGGTGAAATTCTGGAAAGATTGTCTCTCTTTTCGTCTTAGTCCTTTTCCGCCCGGAAGGGCCGCGAAGAACACGCTTAATGGAGAAGGTCATGGTGGAGTCAACCCACACCCCCCTTCCGATAGGTTGCCAGGGAAACCGATGGGGTTGCGGGAAAGAAAACACCATGTCACGCTCGCACAAATCATGTAGTATACCAGACGAACCGAAGTGCGAGGTGCGCATCAAAGGAGAAGTATATTCGTTCTTGCTGAAACTGCTATCATCTTTATCGCTTTTAGAACGAGGCAGAAGAACAACTCTCCAGGTTGGTCCATGCCATTCTTCGTAATTCTAGGCGATAGAAATAATAGCCATTAGCCATTCCCCCACCCCCCCCCCCCCCATGAAAGAGTTGTTTTTCCATGATGTGGAAGGAATAAATGTCCCTTTTTCTCCCAAAATGAGCAAAGTCTCGTTCTGCCGCTTATACGATTCTCGTGGCGGTTTGCTTTTAGTAATGTATCTGAAACCTAACTTGCTAGGAGTTTCTGGGTGGCAAAATTAAAAACATTAGACTAAAGTAATGCATGTGTCGCAAAAGTCATGTTATCCATTTCTCACCAATACTATAAAAATAATCATTGTATATTATTTATTTATTTAAAAAAATGAGTATAAAACCCCACTTTGCCTCCTCAACATAGTTTTCGACTTAAACAGGTGCACGAAAAAAAAGTATTCTAACTTCTGCAAAGAATCGTTCCGAGCGAAATTCAGATCGGACCAAAGTCCAGGATGCTGGAAAAAAATGAATGGATGATGGATGAAAAGGTGCAGAATCCCGGTCATTTTGCCGATGGAATGGAGACCCTCAAACGTGACATGAAGTCTTTCAAGTTGAAAATGAAGCAAATGGAAGATTACATTACGTTTATCAATGGGTACGAATGCAACTGCATTCCTCATTCGACAAACGTGTTTTTGCTATGACAATTATGTGCTTGCATTGAACGAAGTTGCATATATACGCAGACCTGCAGGGTCCAACACGGACAAATTGGGGATGGGAAACCAGATTGAATCCCAATTCAAGAGTTGGATGACCGGAAAGGAGGCAGCGCATGAAAAACTCGACAACAACATCGTGAACGGCATGGAACGCTTGAAGCGCAACATCGCGTACTTCAGGGGGAAATTGGAGCTGATGGAAAGAACCACTTTGCCCGACGACAGGTAAGGACAAAACAGCCTCTCCAAATCGGAAAAGCTTATTTCTGACTTACTGGAAGCTGACTTTTTTCTCTCATTACAAAGAAATGCTGGACGTGAGATCGGCGGAGAGAATGGTATTGCCAAGCCATCTCACCACAAATCCAATCATTTTTCTGAACATGGTAAGTGCAGTGGGAGGCTTGAATTCGTTTATTTCAAGAAAAACATAAAAAACACGCACTTAAATGAATATGGACACTTTTTCAGCTCATCCTTGCAGAAAATCTGCCTGTTTTCGATAAATAACGCTGCAAAAAATTATACGATGGAAGTTGATCAATTGATCTTGCTTGTAATGCACACACATCGCAGTGGCATGAAATGAATTTCGCATCAGCAATAGAAGTAATATATTTTTGTCCACGCAAGCCCAACTCTATTGTAAAGTGAGACACTTTGGTATTCCGCCCACCATAGTAACTGCAGCTCGCGCATTGTTAGAATCGTAGCTGTGAAGGGGAGATAAAACTAAATCCCATGAACAGGTTATGAAATCCACATCAACATATAAAATGTGCCAAAAGGTACTTTACACAGTGTCATACTCAGATAGGCCAAACTTTGGAGACCCTCCCCTCAGGAAGCCTCATTTTAATTAACGTGGTAGGAAGTAAAACGAGCATTTCGATTTCTCATTTTAAAATATTCCGACTCGATTCAGCAGAACATTGCCACTCATGTGCAAGAACTTCAAATTCTATTCGGATGATCGCAACCGTCTCCCGCAGCACACGCATATCGCAATTGCGCCTTCATATGAATCGCTACAGTGCATTGCACTGTTCCCCCATGGGAATAAGGCGATCTGCACGACATCCATGAGAGCATGTACTCAGTCCTTAACTCTTTCCATTTATTTCTTTACCACAGGGTCTGACATCAATGTTGTATGTGATGTTGGCTGAAATCCATTGGTTTGAAATAACTTGAACTTCATGTTTGGCATGTGCGCTCGGAATGTGAAATGAGGTAGTTCACAAATTTCCATATGTAACCTCATGAAACATGAGAATGACGTCTTGGGAACGACGTAATGCACTTAATAGCATATATCAAAATGTCATTGATGAAACTTGTTATGGCAATTACACTTGCATCGCAATAAAACAAGCATTGGGCAAGTAGAGCATGCGTAAGCGAAGAATATAAAAAATTAATTAATGACTAGAGGTACCTGTCGAGATGTAACTTTAAGATTTTGGCCTTGGTGAGCTACTATCGCAAAACAGGAAATAATCCCACTCCAATAAGGAAATGGCAACGTGCTTGCAATGGTTCATTCATGGTTTTCTCTCCCGGATTTTATAATGAGGTTGGTTCTATTTTTCTCGTTTCAAGTGTTCAAAACGAATTAGTATCCAATATTGAGAATTCGAACACATTTCTATGTTTCACCTCCTCACCAAAAACCACCCATTGTTATGGGTGGTTTTGTATACTATGTATGTCATGGAACCGTGGTTGGCAGACTAACAAGCATTTAATTTATTTTCCTTCAAGGGTTCGCGTTTTTCCTATGCAGTCAATTGCGATTGACTGAAAGGTCAGGGATCTGGAAACTGCTCTGGATACTTGTTCTTTGTACAGCCATCACGCTCACCGTTTTGCAGGTTTTTTTTTCGATATCCAAGTTCCTTCATATATGCATTCATTAGATAGTTTGTATAATACATCATGCTCATGATGACTATTTCTTCGAAAATTCAACAGGCACAAGCGCTGATCCAGTACTACATGAGCAATCCAACAGCACAAAGTATAACTATCGACCGACCAGATAGCGTAGAATTTCCAGCAATCACAGTGTGTCCCTATGGGGCATGGAACGAAACTGCACTGCAGCTCTATAACCTNAGGAGGAGATAGTGCAAGAGCAAGAACTAACAACGCTGCCTCAGTTTCTCTCTGACATCGGAGGGATGCTCGGCCTCTACCTTGGATTCTCTCTTCTTACACTTTACGAATGTCTGGAAGCCCTCATCATCTTTGTCACGTCCCGATTCCGCAAGAACTAAATTCGATCAGGATCAATCAAATGGATGAAATATTCACATCCTCCACAACTCTGAAGAAAGCTTGATAAATAAATTGACTCATTTGCCTCGGGCCAGAACCAACAACTCCAGCTGCGAGCTGCCTCCGAAACGAAGTCAATTTTGACCGTCCTCATGCTTTTGTACGGCTACGTGTAACCAAGTGAAGTGTGTAAGGAAGAATGTAATTTGTGAATGGAGCATACATTTTTGTACGAGTGCGAAAACCGGCATTGACACAAGCACGCTCTTGTCCACAGTAAATGACAAAGTTTGACTAAAAATTGTGTGTCACAACTGGTCCCCAGAAGAACATACTAGCTTCAAGGACGACTCACACGCCAGGGTTTTTTTAAATGTTATTATGTCCAGCAGTGAATTGATCGCAAGAAACGTCATGTTTTCAACCTGGGAAGAATGCGGTTTTAACATTGATGTCGTTGTGCGATGAATTTCCACAGGAGTAGTCCTTGTATGTGAAGATGAGGCCATTGTGCTTGGATATGATTGGATTTAAAGGACTTCCCTAAAATGTACCATATAACTTCTTTAATTGGTTTAGTATTGTTCGGACGGCTATCCCAATCACCAACCCAACATTAACATCGACAGAAATTGAAACTTAATAATGATTTTTGCTCTTGACAGCAAATGCATAAGCATGTCATTAGAACTTGTGCATATCGAGCAAGCATTGGTTATGTATGTATGATATTCAAATTACCAAACGAAATTATATTCCATATCAAATAGACCCAGTTCATGAACAGCTCGCCAACTATTGAATAACGCTTGTAAATGCTCGTTTTTTAAGGTTGATCGTACCTGCTGTCATGAAGAACTCGAATGAAAAATGACCACATGCATAATTGCACCTCATCGGATGAGGTCTTCCACCGAATGCATGTGAGAATAATTGCGGCTGAGCTTACATTGTCAAAAAAACCTTACATATTGGTCAATATAAACTAGTTCCACATGTTAGTGGCAGTTCTTAAAATCAATTATAATTTGGTGAACACTCTGGACCAGGTGATTTAGAAGTGGCCACAACGCACTAAGAATTTCCAATAGATTCCATGCTTATCTGTCAAATACATGATCTTAATAAAGACTGAGGCGCTTGCAGCAACATCGGTCTTCTTGATTTGCAGGGACTGTTGTCATTCAACTGAATCGTGCGTCTTTATGGATTTAGATATTGAATGATTAAACTTGCTGCTCTTAGGAGTTGGAATTCCTTACGAGTACGCATAGAATAGGTAAGAGAACAGACAATATACAGTACGACCCACGACTGTTCTTGTTTTGATGGAGGAAAAGTAGTCTTTGCTCACAATACTGGCCCTTTCACCTGCACGAGCCTTTGTGATATCCAAAGAGTCTATATAGAAACTGGTATAGAAGCTTGTATTCTTTCTGAAGTCATTAACTAATCCAGTACACGAAACCACAGATTCAATGTTGAATGACCTTTGGAAAGCAAATCAATATTACCAATAATGATGTGTAATGCTTCATTGAGCAATCATTGTTCACAATTTTCAGGTTAATTCAGTGGAATTATTACTGCTTACTACAATCAATAATGAGTTGCATGTTTAACAGATGATCGACTCCATGAAAAAAAACCAATTGGTTATGCGTCCATGAATGTTGAAAATATTGCCAAATTATTGCTCTCGTATATTTACGGATATCGAGATCAGAGAAGGAGTTTGCAGGATGACTTTAGCGCACCATCCAAATTATTGGAGAATAACCTTCGTTGTTGTGACCTACTCCACTTCCTCGGGATACGAATAAATCTGGGTCGAAAGACCATTAAGACTGATTGTGGAGGTACATGTGAGTAACGTCCCCAATGCACATTGTGCAAACGGTCCCTTGCCGTATTCTACCGTGATTAGAGCCAGAGATTGCCGAATATATAATTAGGCCCTCTTGTCATAATTCGGGAAGTGTGTTTGTGTCACAAGGACGCGCTGGTGTACTAATGATATCCAAGCTTCTCGATAGCCACCTCACGCACAGAATAAGGAGACCAAAAGAGAGAGGGACGTCCTTAATGGTGCTCCTCATTATTATTTCAAGCAGAAGCATTGCGTTGAGAGAAGCAATGAGGACCGTGGTTAAGTGTACTCCTCATCAGTGTTCCACGCTCATTGATCGCCATAATTACTCTTTCCCATGGGAATAATCTACTCTATTACCTGTTCTGTTCGGGTCTTCATGTTCCTCCATATTTCATATTTGCGATCGTCAGCCCGAGGACATTATCGTCGTCACTGCAAACCAGCAATACATTTAAAGTAGCCAAACAATAAATTGTGCCTGATGTCTTCTATGATCGCATATTATCATTATTGACCTGTTTTGAACACACTCCAGGATTGGAATAACCTGTCCAGCTTCATAGGAAAGGTGCGGTATATGCGTTCTTGCTGTGAAATAAATACATATCTTTGGTTTGACTCCAATGGGGCTTCCGCAGGGCTTTAGAAGCGTGCAGTTGATCATTTATAGGAGGCTGTCACCAGAAGATGCAGGCCCAGGAGTACTGCAGGAAAAATGGTTCAAGGTGCGATAGCGAAGTCAGGAGGAGTATCTGGCCATAATGACGTCTCGCTTTGGGGCCAGGCTCTCGGGGAATCCTAAATTAGGCTTACCCCTCTCCAAAGCAAAATGCATGTCTTAAAAAAAAAATAAGATTTGTCGTTTCAAGCTACAATGCTCCTTTATTGGCCATGTAGGCATCGATCCTCCTAATTCTGGTCACTCCAGAGTCAGCCACTTCATCGTCACTTAATGTATTCCAGGCGTTCAATAACCGTACAAGTAAAGAAGTTCTATCTCAACCTGTGACTCACATGGGGATTACGCAACAACCGTGGGTGTCTTCTCGTTCTGCTTCTAGTATCGGACTGGAAAAAATGTGTCAAGCTCTACGTTATAGATTCCTTTAACTAACTTAAATGCCTGGATGAGGTACTGCCATCGCTATTCTTCTCTCGATTGCGTGCAATCCTGATGCTTCTAAACGCTTCTGAAGCTGAAGGCTCGTAACTTCATTCATCATTCTCTTAGCCTGACTATGGATTCTCTCCAGCGCCTCGAGTGGTATTTTTCAGCCTCCAATATTGAACGCAATACTCCAAGTGGCACCTCACTAGCGCCACTAGCTCTAAAGAACTTCAGCTACTCATGCAGAGGGTGTCCGGTATGGCATGATACTATTTAAGAAAAAATCCCATTTGCTAAACATTGGCACACAACATTTATAATATTAACTGAATGATAGCTTGTCATTTGGAATTATTGCTGTTATAAATGGAGGCAATTGTGAGTTTTGAAAGTGCCACAAATACCCTCCGCCAACATCAATACATTTTAAAAGAGGCTTGGCATCAAAAACTTGCCAAAATCCCTTGAACACTGACGGGACTCTGAAATAACACTATCAAGGTGTAAACTTTTATTCATTGCTCTAGCGTCAATTGCGAAGCAATTCTATTGTCCCGTATTCTGCGCACAGAGCTCTATGCTAATTCAGCCGTGCAGATGAGCAAGGAAACGCGGCAGAAAAAAAAGTCAGTTATAATAATTTGAAGAACTGCTGTTGATCGCGAGAAATAATTCCTAACGATGCTGTGTCAAATAATTACTTCACAGAAACATCGAAGAAGGAAAACGTTCAACCGGGAAGGGTGTTGCAAATCCGCCTCATAACGCGTTGCCCGGAAACCGATATAATTGCTATTATACAAACACCATGTTCCCATGCCCGAGCCTTGTCATACAGCAGACCAGCCATTACCTATGTTATGCTTCGAGGGAAAACTAGGTGCGTAGTGTTGGAACACTCATCACCAGCGTCATTCCTGCCCGCAGAACTCGACAGAAACGTCAGTGCCGATGTGAGTTCATCTCAGGTTTCAGCGACTAATAGCTACGTGACTTACACCCATTTCTCTCTTCCGTTTGAAGGAATTTCACCCTACCAAGATGATTGCTATGTTATCCTTGTGCATTTGTACCATTAATTGGAAAATGTAGTTTCGCACACTGCAACCACTCTTGTGGTAATTATTCAGAAGTTACATCTTCCTGATTCAGATGAATTGGAAAGATCTCCGTTCTAGCCTTGATTGATGACAAACTTCGCATAGGCTTTTCTTGGTGTCGCATTCCAGGAAAGCTCTCCTTCATACCCCGCCCTAGGTAGTTCCAACAAGTTTCTTTCCTTTCCAGTCGTAGGATTTTCTTGAGGAATTTTGGGACTTGATAACTTGTCAAGATGGAGCAAACTAACGAAGACATGACGCATGAGCACCAGGAACATGTCGTTCATGGCGTTAGGGGTTTCCAATCTCTCAAACGTGAATTGATGCATTTTGAAGGGAAAATGAAGCACTTGGAAGATTACATGCGTTTCATCAATGGGTTCGAATACAACTGCTTCTCTCATTCCATGACCATTCTTCACGATACGGAGAAAGGATTGCCTTGATTTATACCATTGCCTTCGTAGAATCGCTTGGTCAGAGGAGTCGGCAAAGGAAACTATGTCAAGATCCACGGTCAAGATGCCGACGAACTTCGGGGAGATAACGCAGGGCAAATTGGGAGATGTGGATCATCTCGTCAATGGAATGGAAAGCCTCATACGCGACATGAATAAGTTCAGCAGGAAAGTGGATCTCATGGAAGAATCCGTCACGTCTATGAGCGCGTATGAATATGAGTGTATGATTCATGCAGGTTATACTTGTCACTTCTTCAATGGGTTTACTTGGTTCGAATAACTGTGTTCGCAGAATTTCTGGGCGTGAAATTGACGAAGCGAACTGGGGATACAGGAGCTCCGAGAAGCCTGGACATGAAGGCAGAAATAATTCCAGACAAGGTTCGTACTGCCAATGTAGATCCGTTCCTTTCAGTGAAACTTCAGACACCCGAAACATCTGGAACGTTAATGAAATCTGGAAGAACGGCATGTGGCTGACCATCGTAGTCAATAAATGCTGAAACAAATTAGAAACGAGAGAAGCAACATTTTCGAGGGGCACATATTTCTTATAGTTTCTCTTTGTGACACGGCATCAAGAGATTCTACTTTTCTCGTTTCAATATTTCCAAACTGTCCATCCACTCCATAACAAATAATGACTTTGAACCCTTCGCTCAATTACATCTGACACGTTCTTTTTAAATGGACAGTGGGTTTGTTGGGTTTGTGTCACCCTTTTAATGGACTTGAATCCCTTGCACTGTATATTATAGAGACATCGTTAACGCCTTTCAGATTCATGATCCCATATGAATTACTCGTTTAATGTTTTTTCATTTAAAGCAGAAATATTTAAATTTCAGCCCTCCCGTGTTCATCCTCCATGCTTTGTCCAATGTTAACCCAAAAGCAAGTCACTCTGAATGTTCAAACCAGCCAAAGAGAAAATTTCGAAGGAGGCATTCAACCCATGGGCTCTACTAACACTCATGGATTCTCTATGTTCATCTTACGAAAAAAAAATGTGTCCACATGAAACAACTTTCAAAAATACTAGGCTATAATAACATTAAGTATTTCAAATACAGACTTCATGAAAATAAAATAAATGATAGCATCATGATTTTTAATCCCCGAGGTCATAAAGATTACATTCTAGCATCATCATTCCAAAATGATGTCTGAAGCGTGCAGACGTACATGCATTGATATCATATTGCATTTTTATTGTTTCAGAGCACATACTGCTTTGCTGTTATGTTTAAACTAAAAGCTATTCAAGTTCTAAAACACAGTTCTCATGAATGAATGAGACGAAACCTTGGTGAGGCTTTGGCAGAACAATTTTTCTAGCTGTTAAACATTACACTCGATCAAAATTGTATCGTAATGAAGAAATTCATTTCTAAGCAACCGATTTGGTTCATCATTTACGAATATTTCAATTTAACATTTCAGTCGTTCTACCTGTTTTATGACCTTTTTGTGCTTTGTGAATTCCATTCGCCCTTCCTTAATCTTTTTAATAATTACTTTTCCTAGCTTTTTTGCTAAATGGCATAGTTTAAAATGCAATATTTCATTTCCTCAGAGTAATGACGGCGTCAGCACAACTATGACATGACTAAATTCATTGTATCTTGTGATGTCCTCATATGATGTCTACGTTGATGTGATTTATTCTTCCAAATCCACGACATTGTCTCATTTTTCATTTCATCATTGCTCTCTACGACCACCACAGAGGAAATAATGATCGCATTTCAGGTCATTGGACACTTAACTTGCTTTCAGCGTTATTGATATCATATTGCATGATCAATTGCAAAGAGCATGAAACCAGCTGGAGATCGTATAAGGGAAGTCAGAATGACATTTTTTCTGATCTTCCTTCAAGAACCGGCCATTTCTCTCTGGAGTAAAATTGGATTGGCAGAGCGATCAGGGATATGGAGTCTTCTCTGGGTAATCATCATATGTACCGTCATTACACTCGCCATACTTCAGGTCTGTCTCCAAGTTACTTCATTATTTACTTTCCTGAAATATTTAGAGCAATTCATCACCTGGAATCGAAACATTTTCTCTGAGGGTTCAACAGGGGAGAGAGTTGATCCTGTACTTTCTGAGCAATCCAACAGCCCAAAACATCCGGATCGGACGACTGGACAATGTTGAATTCCCCGCAATCACCGTGTGTCCCCTTGCGACATGGAACCAGACTGCACTGCAGAATCGCAATCTTAATAGTGGCTACATGACTAACTGGATTCTGGGCAAGGGCTGGGTCCTGAACAGCTGGATCCTGAACTGGTTAAACATGAGCATTGACGAAACTCTAAATATGTTCACATTGAATGACTTCAGTCTCCTGGAAGACTGCAGTATCGGGCTTAACATTGGTGAAGCAGATTGCTTATATGGAAATCGTTCAGGGATCGATGGGCATCGCGTCGTCGACACCTATGGTAAGTTTCATTCGTATATTCTCCACGATTCATTGCCCCCATTGACCTGATTGCATTTCGAATTCAAATTTAACTCAGGGGGATCTTGGAGAGAATCGCGGTTCCTTCAGCATGACCTCTTTCCGTTCATGAAGACCTGCTACACATTTGATGCTAAGTTATTGATGGAAATGGGGAGAAACGCATTTGTATTGCGTCTTTTCTTGTCGTTCAGTGACTTCGAATATACCTCTAACACTTACGAGATCCACGTACACTCGAAGGGTGAACCGTTCACAGACGGTATGCCCAATGTCCCAACGACCCAACAGACCCTGCTCGTCACGAAAGGGAGATCTTACGAGGCGAGTCTTTACCCAAGGAAGTTACTTTCATTGCCTTCAGGACAAGCGTGCAACGGGGATGAAAACTATGACTTTAATCAGGTAATTAAATTTCAATTTCTATCCTAATTCCCTAGATTCTCTCTTAACACTACCAGCCAGTCATGCATACCCGGCCCACAGTGCGTCGAGGGGGCATTGAAGGAGAAATTCCTGGACGAAGCCCCGTGCGCACCGCCTTCCCTGGTGCCTTTGGGTGTTTCCAGCTTGAAGCCACCTTGCAACACCACTGACGACTTCGGGCTATTTCTTGACTTTTATGATTCTGTCAAGAATAATTTCACCCCTGGATGTCTGAGGAAGTGTAACACGACGGTGTATGACGCTATCATTGTTCCAGATGGATTCGGTGAACTTGGCAATCTTCCCCTTACCCGAATCGATTTCCTCACCCCAACAAAAGAAGTGAGTTTCTTAGTTTAACTACTCTAACCCTATGAACATACTTGGAAATCCAGCAGGCATTTACCGGTTTAGTTTCTCTTCGGAGGTGTGAAAGTGCTGGTAAGTTTTGTCATGTGAGATGAAGCAATACGTCTTCAACTTTATACGTGCCCAAACAGCATGGTATTTTCAACGAAATGCACTAATTGTCTAGAAATCCAATATCCAAGTGAAGAAGAGCATTAATGCATTTTCAGGTGGGGACGTTGGAAGATCAAGTACTAAAAACGCTGCCTCAGTTTCTGTCCGACATTGGAGGGATGGTTGGGCTCTACCTAGATTTTTCTCTTCTATCCCTTTATGTGCTCTTGGAAACCCTTATCATCCATGTCATTTCCCGATTCTCCAATCCCCAAGTTCGACCAGTATCTCGACCGGGATAAGTCAGATGAGGAAATCAGCCGCCGTCGCCCTGGACTCACGACCCTGGAGGTTGAAGTGCAGCAATTTTTGCCAGAGAACCGCCAGTCATTATGCTGTCCGGAAGTGCCGTCCTTTTCGTGCAGTCCCTGCACTAGTTAAATCCAATAGCCACTGGCCTGTTGTAGCTTTTCCTCTTGTGTCGATCCCCAGCTTGTCATCCCTTTAACATTTAATGCATTGCGTTGGACATTTGGGAGCGATGTCCTGCTTACTTTTGTGCGCAACTGGGAAATGACGAACCTGGGACATGGATATTGTTCCCTCAGGCATATGGCAAGGACTAAATAAAACCGCTGCGCATCAAATTTCGCTCATGCATTTCTGCGTGGTACAGATGCGTCGGACATGCTGATAAAAAGTGCGGAGAACTGTTTGTGTGGCTTTTGCACAGGATCTTTCTGTAAATGCTCCCCCCATGCCGTTTTAAACATATTTTAGCAATGAAGAAGAACTTGACAGTCGATTTTCTTCGACGCATGGCAATTCACCATGCTCACAAAGCCCTTGTGTATAATGTCCCTTTTGCCACACAAATGTATGTAGGATTATCACGAGTGTGTTTGGCTCTGTGAGGAAATATCTCAGGAGAGGGCCTAAGATGTTGAACGTGGAGTCGCCGCCATTGGGGATGACGCGCTTGGGAATAAAATACGAAGGATATGCAAGCTTCAGACCTATTTCGTGCATGCTTCTAAATATGCAAGGATCAATGCAAAAGTAAAGAGTAAATGTTGAATACCCAGTGACACAAACTATTATGTTAACAATTTATTAATGATTATGAACGATGTTGCTTCAATGTGTAAATGTCCAAACATCTATGTTGCCCGATTGTGAAAAAAGAAAATTGCGTTGACGTTGCCTTCCTTGCAAATTTGTCTTCTTATGTTGCAGTAACGTTTCGGAACTGTTTAATTCAGGTTCCTGCAATATTGATGGAGAACGTAGCCTCATTGGCATCTAATATTGACCTGTATTGGTATTACTACCAGGAAAAGCATTGTCTTCATTGCCCTGAGGTGGAACGGAAATCATGTCAATGTTGAATTATTTCATTAAACTTTTCGCACCACATGCTTCAATCCCTTGCCCAGTCTTTTGTGGAGACGTTCCCATCAAAAGGACGAAGCCGGTACTGGTGTAACTCCTGCCAATGCACAGGAATCTGCAGTATTTGTATGAAGCATAGGAAACATGGTGCATTTCTGAAGTTTATCTTCCCTTTATGTGTTAAATGTAGTACGCTTTAGTGAATGATTAACCTCTCTACAAAATCTGCCTTTTCTTTTCTTATCATCTTCTCAGGATGAAGAAAACGATTGAGTTCAAAGTCTCTCTACCATAGTTTTCTTAATCTCCTGTAGAATCTTGTAAAAGTTATTTGAGGCAATATGAGCTTGTTGTTGGCCAGGGCTCTATGAACCTTTCGCGAAAATGAGATTACCAAATGATGAAGCGTCCTTGTTCAGTGAATCCAATAATGGGACTAGGCAAGACATTTGACAAGGTAGTAAACACTTCTATGAGAGACGATTCCCGGGATTGTGAGAAGGGATCTTTTATGCAGCAGTCGAAGAGCGAGACCTACGTCTCCATCTAGTAGTCTTGTGTAAAGTTTTACTATTCCTTACCATGTTTACATGCATATTGAATGAGAATTTGGTCGATGCGGTGTCAACGCCAACAGAGTCACAATTTTTTTTTTCAATATTGATTGCAAATGTTCATTGAAATGTCTCAGTTACTTTCGAAGCAATCAACAGCGAAAACATTGAATCACTGTTTAATTAATGTTCATAATTTGCAACAGAACATCATTGGCTAAACTTCGGAAGCGTTCCATCAAAATACATTTTTGCTTGGGTTAGTACAAGATACCGGCGTATCTGCCATTCCTCTTTTTTTTCCCGTACCGTTCCCATTCTCCCCATTGCTGCACGACCTACGAGCATATGTACATAGTACATGATGATGAAGCCGTGCTTAGTGTGATTTAACAATTCGTGACCAAAACGCAACACCTTTTCCTGTAGTGATCCACATGTTCTTGCCAAGTATCTTTCCTGTCTCACATGTATTTTTAATGGCAACGTAGAGTCATATGGATCGATTTTGGGACTTTCAAGACATTCCGGTGAGATCATGTAACATTAGACCTAATTAAAGTTTTCAAACAATTTCGACGCGAACTGAAGCGAGAAAACCTAATGGAAAGAAATGCAAATCGGGCGCTGTCTTGTTTATCCAAATGTGCACAATTCCCCCACATACCAACATATGAATAGACCGTACATAGGTATAGTATACACCGTTGCTATCACGTCTCATCTGTGAACGCATGGAAGGGTATAAAACAAAAGAATAAGACAGACGCAGATTCGAATACGGAAGCACACATGAATAGAACATAACTCTGGCACGGTCTGGGGCTGGTAAAGGACTGCTAGTAAACTGGAAAGCTCAAGTTCATGAAATTCCCATGTTAAGGGTGAGAACCACTGTTCTGCAACACCAAGGAAATATTGATTCAGAATGACTTCAAAGAACTTGACTTGAGCAAGCAGGAAGCTCGTCCGATTTTGTTAATATACAGGAAATCAGGAAATACGAGAACGTTGAATTTTGTGATGAAGGTGAAAAAAGTGAATAAACACGCTACGAAAGCAAATAGATTTTTGACGATATGTTTTCCATAAAGAACGGATATTATTTGAATATATATACAGTATAAAAATATTTTACTTCATTTGAATTCGAATTTGAACAAGGGAATACAGACCGATCCGCATGTTAACCTGGTTAAGGTTGCCATGCGGATCGGTCTGTTTGGAATGTGGAATGTGTCCGATTGGATGTGTCAATGGAGCATTGACAACATTGACACATCAAATCGGCAGGTTACCGTCCTGACCGATGAATGGCCCGACCCCGTCCCACGACAGTGACAGATCGTTCACTAATAGTATTTTAATTATTAAAACTTTGTAATGCAGCAATATCTTCCTGGGGAAGATCTTCAGTATCTTCAATATCTTCAGAGATTGAAGTCGCACCGATCCGAGTGATGAATGAATGAGTTCCAATATTTTCCCTGTCTGAAAATATCAACTGTGGCCGCACGCAGAAACAGAGGAAAATTGAACTCAGCTTCAATGGTACATGATAGAATTCGGCATGAAATCAATATATGATTCAGGAACATACAATGCCCATCATGTTGTCTCCAGTTTTGCGTCTCTCGATTATTTAAGCTAGCACAAATATGCTAGTCCCAAGACAAACAGAATATCTTCAAACAGATTTGAAGACCGGTGCAATTATGAATATAACAAACATCTTGTTCAGCTTACATTAATACCACTGATGTTTCATTTTTCTTGGGGAACTATGTTGTAAAAAAGATCAAAGAGCACTTCTTGTGTTGCATACTTTATTAATTTTTTTTGTTTTGATTAATTTAGTTTGTGTAATATATTTATATTAGTCAGAATTCTACCTGCGGATGAACCCCAAGAGAAAGCTGTAGAGGAGAAAAGAATACATGAGAAGGAAATTTCCATTTTGAAAATTGAGAATAGGTGTTTTTAGGAAACTATGGAAATTGCAGCTTGGAACATGCAATAGAAATTCTGCGTTAAGGGAAGAAGCTTTCCTAATATCATTTCCTTGGATCCTTCCTAACCTTTCCGTGCCGATTTTTATCATATTATTTTATCATATTTTTATCTACATGGAACCTACAAATGGAAGATCCCACACCATTCGCATACGAGAGCGAAGACGGGACAGGACTCTTACTCCTTGGCCGACGGTACTTACACACAGTGAGGCATACAAATTATTCATGCCCAAATCCGATAACGAAGGTCCGACCGAAGACATCATGCTAAAGAGACAGGGCACTCTGCGGCGGTGTCTTTGATGTCTGGGAAATCCCTCTGCCCTGGTAATTGGCCCTAGAACGACGCAGTATTGATCAATGAGATTATTGGATCGGATTTGCGCATAGAAAATGGCGGTTTATGGATCTCTGTACTGCTCTTTCGTATCATACCGAAAACGCTCGGGCACGTGTTCATTGCTTTGTTTTTCATAGCCGATACCGTTTTTGGAAGAACATCATGTCAACTCCAACGGATGATTTCAATTTCAGGAAATCTCACCTCCCCGAATGCGCCATGAAACCGGCCTCAAACTCCTTTCAGACATCCTTCTGAAACGAATCTCCACATTTATTTCCGCAGAAGGTTTGCAGACATCACGAAAGGCTCGCTGCCGATTCTACTCAAGGAAGTTGATTCTACTCATTGCGGTTATCCAACGTAAGTACAGAGCGCTCAGTCTTATAGTATAACATCGTTGGGCCAGACCTTCTCACAGAATATTCATGGATATAATGTCGAGCTTTATTTGTACTGTGGAGGGGGGGGGGGGGGGAGGGGTAGGCATCACGAACGCTTACTGAACATCAGAATACGCTTACTGGGGAAGGTCATGTTGGAGTCAACCCCCACCCCCCTTCCGATAGGTTGCCAGGGAAACCGATGGGGTTGCGGGAAAGAAAACACCATGTCAAGCACGCACAAATCATGTAATATACCAGACGAACCGAAGTGCGAGGTGCGCATCAAAGGAGAAGTATATTCGTTCGTGCTGAAACTGCTGTCATCTTTATCGCTTTTAGAACGAGGCAGAAGTACAACTGTCCAGGTTGGTCCATGCCATTCTTCGTAATTCTAGGCGATAGAAATAATAGCCATTCCCACACCCCCCAATGAAAGAATTGCTTTTACATGATGTGGAAGGAATAAATGTCCCTTTTTCTCCCAAAATGAGCAAAGTCTCGTTCTGCCGCTTATACGATTCTTCTGGCGGTTTGCTTTTAGTAATGTATCTGAAACCTAACATGCTAGGAATTTCTGGGTGGCAAAATTAAAAACATTAGACTAAAGTAATACATGTGTCGCAAAAGTCATGTTATCCATTTCTCACCAATACTATAAAAATAATCATTGCATATTATTTTTTTATTTAAAAAAATGAGTATAAAACCACACATTGCCTCCTGAACA